AATATATATAATACCATTAGTGAAACATTGAAATTGGGACATGCTAATAAATAGATGAAACACGGCCACCACCTTTTAACGTAAAGGTTTATTTTGTACTCGTGGATAAAACAATTTGTTAATTTTTTTATCAATAAAATAATTTTTTTATTATAATTAAAATATAAGGGTACTCTTGTCCATTTCAAATATACCAGACAAGGTACATCAGTGCCAAGAAGGCCTGCATTCCAATTGCTTTAACCATTACCAAACCAAAGCAAAAAAGACTCGACAAATCCATGCCACTGTCCATTAATTAACCAATCATCCGTGCAATATCCGTGCAATTTCTGCTATTTATGAAATTGTTTTAGACCACTTTTATACCATCTTCTTGCTACGTACCGCACACTCACGTGGTCTTGGCCAGTGTTTTTGGGTCTGATCCAATGATTGACCCGTTTTGACCATCAAATTCGATTCAATCGGTTCAATTGGTTCACTCAACTGATTCAACCAATCAATTAAGAAAAACCCTTTTTTTTATGTTTATATTAAATTTTATTTTTTATATTATTTTCACTCTATTTTTAAGAAATAATTATCATAAAATCAACTTAAAAATTATCATTTAAGCAATTAAAATAATAAATTTAATTAAATACATACAACTTGATTATTTTGACTTTTGATATGCTTTTTTTTTTTTAGTTCATAGACCAATTTGAGAGAAAATAAACTTTCTAAACCAAAATGATAATAAACCTATAACGAATAGACTAAATGTTAAATTTAGGCCATTTCACTTTGCACAACAACCCAAAATTACCTAATTCTAACACGTGCATCTATCACCACTACCAATCATCCCCACACTCCTCAACCATTTTAACAATGTCACTAATCTTCCTCTTCCCCCCAATTTAACCCCTTTTTAAAAAAAAATAAAATTGAATAAAATCTGCCTTAATCTTGTTTTATATCCTTCTTTTGATCCTTTTTTTCCTGGAGCTTGATCTATCCTCTTCGTTTTCAATCTCCAAGAATTGGTTGAGATCGGATTCAGATGGCGGCGTCAAGACGGTTGCATGACCTCTAATCTCAATCAGGGAACAAGATTTGCGTCGACTGTGCCCAAAAGAATTTGCAATGGGCTTCGGTCTCCTATGGCATCTTCATGTGTTTGGAGTGCTCCGGCAAGCACCGTGGTCTTGGCGTCTATATTTCTTTCGTCAGGTCTGTTACCATGGACTCTTGGTTTCAATGGAGGTGAAGCAAGGAGACCAGGCTGTGTTTGCTGCGGTTGCTCACGAAGGAGATGAGGTGGTGCCCGGCGGGTGGAACGGGTCCGGCGGTTGGCGCGGGTCAAACGAGTCGAACAGGTTTGGACGGGCCAACTCTCAAAACGGGCCGAAGCATGCACTCGGCCCATTTTTAAGCCTAAGTTTGGTTGAACCGATCCAACCGACCAGGCCGGGCCGGTTTTAAAACAATGGTCTTGGCAACAACTCATGAAATGAGAAAACACAAATGGCACAATTTGTTAATATACGTTAGATTGATCAGGTTAAAATCTTGAAAATTAATATTATTTAGAATAAAAATTATTAATATATCTTTAGATTTAATATTATTTAGTATATTTGTTAATATACGTTAGATTAATTAATACTTAGATAATAGATATCATTTGGTGTCCATTGAGGACACAAAATTATTTACTATTTTGAATGAGAAAATGCTGTTTTCACTTTTCTGATTTAGTGTAGTCTTTATTAATTTCTACAACCAGCTATGCACATTACGGAGGAAGCTGTCTTTGGGCCTAATCATACAGCATACGTCCCCATTGAGAAGTCCTTCTCTGCCTTGAGACCAAAGCTCCTCTTTCCATATCTCGTACAGAAGCTGAAAAATCAAGCAAGTTCTTTTAGACAGTCTTTTATTTTTAATTTTACTCCGGCTATGCCGAACTTTTTCCTTTTATTTTCTGTTTAAGTATAAGAGGGAAATATTTATAAAGTTGCCCCTAATACCTAGGACTTGAGGATTGACGCTGAAATCTAGAGGAATAATGGAGTGAAGCCTTTAACTAGAGGGATAAGCAACCGTAAGACATCCACCATTGATGGCCGGTGATCTGCTTCTGGGTGAACACACATGGCAGCAATATCAGCTACGTGTAAAGCTAAACTTGGATTTAGGCTGATGTGGGAGGTATGCTACTCATGACGGTTAAAGCAGGTAATTAGGTCTTTCTTTGAATACTGGCCTTCTAGGGCGGGATCAACCATTTCATTTGACCTTTTCTCTGTTTTTTAGCCTTGGAAGAGCCTGTTACATCACAAAATTTTTTTACCATTACTCCACAAACCTTCAAGCTACAATCAATCATTGTCATTGATGACAAAAATGAAAATTGAGAGGCTGATTTATATGCAGGAATTTTTCTGATATTAAAAAACAATCAATTTTGCAGTGCCTCCAATGCTAAGTGTCCAATATTGCAGTTTCAAGTTTTTCAGAAGTTTGTGCTATACATAACCCAACTGGTTGAAGGTGAGGTTTGGGACCCCAGCTGGTCCTTGATACAACCTTAAAAGATATGAGCAATTGGATCTTATGCAGTATGGAGATGTGAAATTAATATGGTTTGTATCTGTGCAATTCTAGCTTGTGCAGATTGTTTTTGCTGTATATGTTACATAAACATCAATGAGGACGGCGGGGGGATTTTGGTTACCAACCCATGAGACGAGGACATGTTCTCTGGAGGCCTCTTTTTATCAACTGGCACACGGCCTGTTAACAGCTGCAAGAGAATGACTCCATAGCTGTATACATCTGATTTTGTAGTAAGTTTACCTGTTGAAGCATTTCTGTGAAGTACCAAAAATTTATGTAAATAGTCATGACATTAGTCTAAGTTTTTGTACTTGTATATGTTAATGTACAATGACTGCATTGCTGTTCAGAATTAGCAATCTAACCAAGGCAATGTTCGAGGGAAAATTTTAAGGTTGAACAGACATAACAAACTTTTTGTGGAGAATAGTTCAGAAAAGGTTCAAATACTCATGTTATCCAAAAACAATAGTCATAACAAGCACGAAAATCCTTGGATGCAGTGTGCTATACAATTTGTGCATGGATATGGGCTACGTTACCCCAAACAATCTTTTATTGATTAAGGAAAACGAAAGGAAATGAAATGATGCCTATAATGACCTTGATAGATGGCCATGTGCAAATGGTTGTGCGGATTTTTCACTGATATGGGACTGGAAGTGGTAAATTTTCATAATGAAACATAGATATATGACAGACAATGGAGTACTCTCGTTGGGGCCAGATATCCTGTGGTCCCTAACACCCATGTCAAAATCTAACCGTTGATCTTCTTTGACCCTATCTTGGCCAATTCAAAATTTGACACCTTGGCACGAAGTTTTGATCTAAAAGAACATTAGTGCTCTTGAAATCATGGTGGATGATGGTGGTAATGACATGTCATGGAGGAACTCAAGGGCCCTAGCACAATCAAGGCCTATCCTTAATCGACTGCCCCAATCCAACAGCTAATATTGGTTCTTGGGGTCAAGGAGATGTTTCTGGAGGGTACCATTAGGCATGAATTCAAATATCAATAGCCTAAGGTGCTGGTCGGCGCAGTAGCCAATTAGCTGCACTAAGGAGAGAGTGCAAGTGGTTTAGCAGGTCCACCTGCAAACTATGAAAATCAGCATTAAAATGGACAAAACAATTAACTCTCTGCGTAGTAAACAAAGATAATGAATGTCCCAAAGGGGACGTCCTTCAGTATATGTTGGTTATTAATGAAGTTATTGCTACAAACCTCTATCCTAAATGCACGCTCCCCTTGCTTTCTATATCTATGCAATTAACCTCTTAATTGTTGCCACAGTCCCATCAGCCAAGACACCTATGTACACCACACAAACCCTCTACTCTCTATCTCATTTGCCTAAATAAATTTGTCTGTGGCCAATTCTAGCTCGGAGGCTCCTTGTATGTCAAGACTTGGACTTCTATCTGCTTGAATTTGAGAGCCCCAGGTTACCTCCACTAAGACTCCGTCTCTTCACATCTGTCCAATTTTCAAACAACCCCACATCAAAGTTTGAAAAGGTAAAGAGAAATGAGTGTCCAAAAAGATTATCTCTTGTTGTATAACTTAATCAACTCTAAAACTAAAGAGCAAAATTATCCTGCAAATGGGATTGATTGATTGAATAAGAAAGAAGATTCCCCATCCTCCAACTTCTGACATGCAACATAAATTATAAATGTTAGGACGTTACTATTACATCAACACCTGAAACGTGGATGCATCATTAGTTACCTGGGCTAGAATTGAAATCTATAGTGGTGTGAGCAGTGAACCAGCTGATAGTGTTCTTGTCTTCGCAACAACTATTCTTTTTGTTAGATTTGAGTCTACAGAGCTATATTATCAGGAGAAATATTGTGAAAATAATGAAAATGGAGAAGATGGATACAATGATCACAGCCATGAGATTACAGGAAAGGATGTCATGGTGGTGGTCACTGTTGGAAATGGTTCCTTGAATAGTTCGAAACAAATTTGGAAAATCCAAATGAGGCTTGAATTTTAAGTCCTAAGAGTTACCATTTATTATAATTTTAAGTCCCAAAATAAGACACACTAATTATTAATTAAGAACTAAACTGTTCACATAACTAAACTGTTCATATATTATTAATTTTTTTAGAAGTAGGATTGACATATGGAATTGAAAGATTAAGGACCAAAATAAGACAAACTAATTATTAAGAATTAAACTGTTCACACAACTATAGTTTAGAGACCGAAAGGACAATTTGGCTAACACGTGTTATTTAGGTATATAGCAGTTTCAAATTAATTAGTAGTTTTTAGTAGTTTCTTTTAATATAACAAATAATAGTTTGAATTATTAATAATAACAATAATAATTATTAACTATCAAATTAAATGAAATTGTTAACAAAACGATATACATACTAAACAGCTCAAATCAAACTCTCACCTTTTAATCAACGGCAACATTGTTTGTTGCAATCCACTTGGCCTGATTGATACTTCCAGACGAAGGGCCTTTATTGTGAGCTCCAGCACCAGGGCCTATGTTGATGCTTCCTAAGGAGATCAAAATGACATTTTCACCATTGGTTATGTGATCAATGTCGAGACGTTCTGTTTTAGAGCCAGCATTAGTCCAAGCTTCTTCCCCAGAGACATTGGTTTTGTTATTTGGAATCTGTAATAGCTATGGTGATTAATAGGTGATGGTACTAGAACAGTAAATTTTTAGTTTGAACAAAATTACATTATTTTAATAAATAACGTGCTATAGAAAAATGCTACAATACTCAAGTTTTTTTTATCTCAAATAAGTTATTTTAGTTATTTTTCATGTTGGTATTTATTAAAACAACATAGTTTTACATTTCTAGACTCCTAATTTTTTTTAGAAAGGATTGATATATAGAATTGCAAGCTTAAGGACCAAAATAACACAAACTAATTATTAAGAACTAAATTGTTCACACAACTATAGTTTAGAGACCAAAAAG